GAGTATGGAATCTTAATAATTTATTGGTTAAGGTCATTGGATTACATTTAGGAAAATAGAGAATATATTAACTACTGAAATCAATTTAACGGGTAAACTGTACATGTTTACTCATTTCAAAAATGTAGTATACAGAAACTACGGGGCATACTCCTGATCAAAAGAGCATCAAACTATGGTCAATCGGTAGCATACCTAACTCACATATAGAAACAAAAACAGACCTCAAACAGCAAGGGACAGGCCCCTTACTATAAGTCAAAAACAGTAGCTCCCTGATCAAAAGAAAATAAAAAGCAAATCAAAATATGGGCAATCAGATACACAATACCTAGCCAACATAAAGCAACCACACGTCCACAACAGACCCTAAACAGCAAGGGACATGCCCCTTTATGCAAGCCAAAAACAGTAGCTAAGCAAAGTACATTCCAGTTTCAAAATAAGACAGCTCCAAGTGTGCCAATAAAAAAGAAAGAAAAATCATGACAAGTACTAGAACTCAACGACGGTGCTTGGGTACAAGCTGAAAAGTATTCTATACACCACCACTTTAATTTTCATACTGAAATCAATTTAAGTAATAGCATAAGGTAGAAAAATTAAATCAATTCTCAACACTTTTTAGATTCATGGAAAATGTGTAGGAAACTAGCTATAACATACCAATGGAGGAGAAGACAATATGCTGAGGTCAGTCTAGTAGACTTCGAATGGAAGATAGCAAAACTATACAGATGAAATCAGAAGACAGACTAATAAAGTTAACTGAGAGATCATAAATATAGTGAAAATTAGCAAATATAATTATAGATGAACTCTTAGAAGATACCTTGAGGAGGTAAAACTAAGTCTGATTTTCTACCAGAACAATCAAATGTTAAGGTTTCAAGGAGACGCCTATGGTGGCTGAGCTTCTCTAGCGACGCTCTTCTTCTGACCGCTGACCGCCCAAAAATGGCTCACGTCGTCGACCTGCTTCACTGTTCCGATCTGTTCAAGGGTCGGTGTCCCAATCATTTTTCAGTGGTGGTGTTCCTGCGAAGGACGAATCTATTGCCGGTCGTCCATGTGCTCGACGCTTTTCGGTGGAGGCAAGCTCCCGTTGTTGCCGACTTGCCACATAGTTTGGGAGACAGACCCTTCCCCTTTGCTGGAATTACACTGTGGCGGCAATTTAGTGTGGCTAGGGTTGTGTTTCATTTTACCGCTCAGAGAACTCTAATACTTCCTAAATATCATTAGCGTCAACAAGAGTACTATTCACCGATATCTTTTTCATAATTTTCTAGAATGTTTTTTGCCGTCTACAAGTTGACGCAAAAAAACTATTATTTGTGTCCACATGTGTTGACGCAAAAATTCTGGACGCAAATAATACTTTTTGTTGTAGTGGCTTGCTCAATCCTAAACTTGATACGATTGGATTCAAATCAATATATATATATATATATATAAAAGAGGAACTTTTTAAGAGCATACGGTGCGCCACATAATCCTGCCATGTCATCATATATTACAATTATTTAATTACTATTTATACATTTTATTGTTTTTATTACATTCTATTTTTATTGCATATTGAATTGATATGGAAACAAAAGATCGTATGATAGAATCCACCTTATTTGGTAAATTTTTCAGAATCTACGACTTACTCCGTATTAATATGGATATTTATTAAAATATATATAAAAGAGGAATTTTAAGAGCATCTGGCGTGCCACATAATCCTGTCATGTCATCATATATAACAATTACTTAATTACTATTTATACCTTTTTTTATTACATTCTATTTTTTATTACATATTGATATGGAAACAAAAGACCGTCGCGTATGATAAAATCCACTTTATTTGGTAACTTTTTCAGAATCTACTACTTACTCCGTAGTAATATGGATTGTTATTAAAATAAGAAATTATTGCAACCACAACAATAAATAGTCATCCGTGCACATAGACTTTATTTAATTTAATTATTTTTATACTTTTATTTTTATTACATTCTATTGAGAAGTGAATTATCCGTGTTTTGCGCACCGAACAAATAAATCATCCAAGTTCCTATCAATTTTGTTCTTCAAAGTTATTTTATAAATTTCTTCCAAAAAAAAGTTATTTTATAAATAAAGTAATAATAGTGTTCCATTTCCTAAAAGTACGGAGTAATATTTTATTTTTCTAAACTCAATTTTTTGAATGTTTTCTAAACTCAATGTGATAATGACTAAAGTTATCAGACTTACATTTGCAATTGTGTTAATATTTCGTATTTTTCTGCATCATCATACCATTCTTTCTTAATTGTTGAGATAATGATGGAAACTATAACCACAAGATTATTTTAACTTAAAAATAAAATTGATATATACTATTAGACATTCATATATGAAAACATTTAAAACTTCTGATCAAGTATCTTACCTTTATGAGGATGGAAATGGAAATTCATATCATACATATATGAATACATTTAGCCCAGCAAAAAAAGTAAACATGTTTAGTTGTTTCTTTATTTTTACAACTACAATTTAGATTTTCCATCACTTTTGACATAGATTCCTAATCTAAATTAGGAAATCTTCATACATTTAGGGTGTTTTTTAATTGGACTGGTTTCAGTCTTAGACAAGATCGGATCAAATATCAATCATAATAATAATAATAATAATAATAATAATAATAATAATAATAATAATTATTATTATTATTATTATTATTATTATTATTATTATACATAAAATAGACATCTTCCAGACCAAGTTAGAAATCAACATGTCAATCTAATTAAAAATATCCTTATTAATGACATTTTCAATGTGACGAAATAAATCAGTAAATTGTAAAAATGATCCCTTTTTTACATTTCAATGTGACAAAATAATGAGTACAATGTAATAGCTCACTAATAAATTTACAAATACTTATTTCATACCATATGTTGAATGAGAAATATTTAAAAATAGTTTTTTAGATGCTTAATGAAGTAATATAGAGGATGTGAAATTAATTAAGAAACTTTTGTATGAATTCTTTAAAATCGGGTTCATAACCATTATGTTTAGTTGAGATGCATATGTAGAAGTCCAATTTAAATATTTTTCATATAAATTTGAATTACTTTTATTAATTATATATGATTTCGAAAATATCAAATATATAGTTAGCTAAATTATGTACTGGGCTTGAAAGCTAGTACATAAAATATAGGAGGGGAAAGGGGAAATAAACCAGCGAACTAATAAAAAAAGTGCAAATTAAATCACCCCTTATATAAGAGTTTCTGTCCAGCCGTCACCATTTGGGGCGGTTTCTGGTGGAATATTTTGATGCAATTCTTTGAGCATCTTCTTCATTAAGTCTAGTTTATCCATACCAAATTTCAGCTAAAACTAAAATCAGGAAGACAGTCAAACGATTTTATGAAATATACTGCGTTGTTTAACTGCAGAGTTATCTTCAAAAATTCATTTGACTGCCCTTCCGATTGAATTTTTATCTGAAATTTGGTATGGGTAAACTAGAATTAATGAAGAAGATACTCAAAAAATTTCATAAACAAATTCCACCGGGAACCTCCCCAAATGACAACGTCTGGACAGAGTCTTCTCTATAAAGGGTGATTTGCACGTTCTTGGTTAATTCGAGGGCTTGTTTGCCCCTTTTCCCCCAAAAAAAGCAAAGCTTGTAATTGAAGCCTAGTGGTCCACACCTTACGTTTAAAAGCCATGCCAATTGAACTTGGTGGTAAGATGTTCAATTCCACCATTACCAAATATAGGGGGGGTCATAATGGGTTGGTTTAACCGAACCGCACTATACCAAACTGAATCGAAACCGGACCGTATGCAATTTGGTACTATTTCTTTCAAACCGTATTAAACCGGACCGAACCAAAACCGATAAAAACCGAACAAAACCGAATCGAACTAAAGAAATTCAAAAAAACTTTATATATTATTTAAAATTAACAAACCCAAACCGAACCAAACCGAACCGAACCAAACCGAAATATAGTACTCCCCTCCGTCCCGCTATTAACTTCATGCTTCCCTTTTTGGGCTGTTCCAAAATAATCTTCTCATTTCCCTAAATGGAAAGTTATCCTACATCAAAAAGTGTCAAACGGTGTTAAACAGTGCCAAACAGTGTCGAAACAGTGTACTCTACAGTGAAGTCAAATTTATTTTCTAAATATGTGTGTAGGTCAAAGTAGGAAGTTAATAGCGGGACGGAGGGAGTATGATTTTTGTTTGGTAATAATTCTTCCAATCCGTTCCAAACCGAACTGAAACCGATAAAAATCAAACCAAAAAACGATATGCCTAGCCCTAATCAAATATGTGGAATAGACGAATAGTCGGTAATTGTAGCATTATTGTAGTGATAATGGGATGACAAGACAAAATGCACCATCTTTTAGGAAATAAGTTTAAAAGTGTCCCTTTTTGAAAAATAAGTTTCAAAAGTACATCTATTTCCAAAAAAAACTTCTAGTAGTAGATATGAACAACCCAATGACTTAAGAACATAGAAATATTACTAAGAATTGCATGTATTGGAACAAAATTAGTAAGAGTTTATTTACTAACAAATATATTTTCCAGTTGTCTTTTTCTGGTTTTCGTTCTATTTTCTATTTTCTATTTTCTATTTTCATTTTTTAGTTCTTGTATCTACAATTTTCTATTTTCATTTTTTAGTTTTCCATTTTTAAAACTGAAAATTATTTCTGCTAGTAAACATGCCATTAGTATTTCTTTCAAACTCTACCGAATTGAACAAATTAAAAACCGTGAAAACCCAAATAAAATTAAATTGAATTATGAACCTCAATGAAATAACAAATGCAAAATGAACAAAATCAAATTAAATCGAGTCAGGTCAAATCGAAACATAGTCCTTAGTATGTTTTACTACGTTTTGACAATAGTTCATTAAATCGTATTGAATATTTGAATAGAAACCGAATAGAATCAAACTAAAAATTGGTGAACTCTGAATCAAAACCCATACTCCTCTCTATAAATAGGTGCCGAACGTTGTACCCACAGAAAACACTACACTTCCGCTCAGGAGCGCAACGCCGCCATAGCATGCATGGCAAGGGAAAAGGCAGCGACGTCATCCAAAATGGCCGTCGGGGTCATGATCTTGCTGCTCCTTTTGGTGCTTTGCACCGGCGGCAATGGTTTCTACGGCCGCTGTTAAAACACCGCCTGCGACAGCGGCATCAAGCAGCGGCGGCAGAGGCCGCCGTGTGCTCAGCAGGAGATGGCTGCAGGCACAGGGGAGTAGGTGTACACCAAGATGCAGGCAATTTTGTCTATGTGCGTTTGATTGTGACCAGTGCCGATCCATTTAATCTAATACGTACGGACATATATGTCGCATGAAGATATCGACTCGACCACTAATACGGAATTACTAAATAATACGGAGTAGGTAGTACTCCGTAATACGGAATTATTATTATTTTGAGTGCATTTTCTCTTTTTAGTATTGATAGAGTATATAGACTCGGACCCCCGGGTCTCACGACTATTGGGCCCGGACAGCGGCCCACATACGCTCAGTAGATAGCATTTATCTCATTGTACACTCTATTTTATTCATGTATATCCATTAGAATAGATTAGATACCATTTATTAGCCATTTATTGGCCTTTTATTGTAACTGGGCCAGCCAGGCCCAAGCCTGGAAGCCCAACCCTCTTTTCTCCTATAAATACTCCCTATGGGAGCCATGTAAAGGGAGAAGATGGGATGGTTGATTGGAATTCATTATACATATCACTTTATCTCTCTAGCTCTCACTTCTCTCTAGGATTAAATAATCTATCATTTAGTGCTTTCATTGAGAGCTAGAACAAATCAAGTGAGATCCTCCCAACCAATATCACAACACGTAAACTATGGATGTGGTATCACTTCGGCCCAATTGGGAGCAAAATGAAACCCGATATACACTTTCACATGTGGGAGTATTCTTCGGCCAAAACTAAAGAAAGCAACAGAAACAAAGTCAACTTAGCTTTACAGGTGGCAGCTTCCTAATCCACAACTCAGCCCACCACTTAAACATGACGGCAAAGTCAACTTAAACTACAAAAAATTGGGACAGCCTCGGCTACAACATCAATCGTCGGGGAAGCTTCACCCCGGCCAAAGAAGGAACTTTGGGTCACCTCGGCTATCCATATGTGAGGCATAGATCAACGGCCAAGAACTTTCCTCAGTAAATTGGGACGAGAAGCCCAAGTACACCTTCGGCTCAGCCAAGGACATCAATGTCACACTTCGGCCGACACCACATCGGCCGGCATTACTTCGCCCAAAGGAAGCTCCCTGGTGCCCCACGTCGGCAATCCCTCGGCCGAACCAGAATAGGCCAAGTATTGGTGCACCCCTCGGCCTATTGGGACCCTTCTGCCAATTCACCCAGTCCTGGAAGCAAGAAGTGGCGCACCCCATCGGCCGGAACCCCATCGACCAGACCGCATCGGCCCGAAGGGAAAGGACCATGGCAGCACCTCCGTCCTGAAAGCAGAAGGGAACCAACGAATCCATCCCCCGGATGAACTGCACAACGTCTGGAATAACCTCTGCAACACTATCGGCCATACCACCATCGGCCTAATCAATGGGGATGACACGCTTCGGCCAAGCAATTGAATTAGGCAACTGGCTCCCCGTCCAAACCAGGGGGTCACTCACACCTTGGTAACGCATCGGCCGGCACACCTGTCGACTGACAAAACATCGGTTCAAACAAGGGAGAGGCAGTCCCTTCGGCCAAGAGAAGCTCCTCAGTGCCCCTTGTCCACAGCGGTCCCCATCGGCAACACCGGTGCACACCATCGGCCAAACAATTGAGGGAGGCACCGCATCGGCCGGCATACAACGGCCAGCAACATTCCGGCCGCGACGCATCAGCCATGACACCATCGGCCGGTAACCCGTCGGCCGGCAACACCAGCGGCCAGAACCCTTCGGCCAGAACGCATCGACCGGCCACACCATCGGTGAAAACAGAGGTGAGAACGACACACCATCGGCAGTGTGAGTGCATCGTCCAACGACTCCCAGCTCGGACAAGTGGGACCCTCATCCTCAAACACCTGGTGGTTCTTCTTCGGCCAAGCAAAACAAAAGCACCCCCTCGTCTTAAACAAAGGAAAGGCAGCTGCTTCGGCCAAGGAGAGCTCTTTACAGCTCGCGCGTTGTGACTCTTATGCCCGAGAACCCCGGCCATGTTGGAGATGCCCGTCGCCTCGTCTGTCATATGCGTTCACAAATGGGAAAGCAGCCTGGGCCGTAGTCACTTCACATCGGCCAGGACGACCAACAACAACCAAGGAGAGGCAGATAACTCCTTTGGCCGGCGACACCTACGGCCGGCAACACTACCGCCGGCCAGGAAACACACATCGGCCAGAAATCACGTCGGCCAGAACGGGGTCGCCTCGTCCCTACACCACACCGTCCACCGCCTCGGCTAAAGCTCCGCCTCGGCCAACAAAAGAAAAAAAAATCCAGAAACTGAGATCTGGAGTTCGCAAGCCTAAATCGGGTATAGCAGGGACCTCCTCGTCCACAGTGCACTCCAGCGACGCGGAGTCTCCTCGTCTCTCTTTCACGCCTCCTTCGAATTTACTTCTCCCCCTCCTGCGGATGAAGTTAATGAGACAGGACCTCCTAGCATCTCAAATGACACATTGGACTAGTAAAGTATGGGCCGGTCAGGCCCAATCTCATATTTCCCTGCTTGAATACTAAGCAGGGCAGGCTTCGGCCCAAATACAAGTAAGTGCCACAAACCTTTCCTCCTATTTTATGCATTAAATATGGAGCAAAATAGTTTTACCACTATTTAAAAAAAAATATAGTTTTACTAACTATTCAAAAGAAAAACAAAATAATAATAATAATTACTACTACTATTATTATTATCACCACCATTGCTAGCGGATTAAAATCCCCAATTGGTGCGGGCCAAAGCCTTAACCTTCCGAACATCTTTATTTGATGATTCGGATTATATTTGGGTCCCTTGACCTACCCCGGTCATCTTTATTTGATGACCCGAATATCTAGAATGAGAGCCATCATCGGCCGCACACGACATTATGCCTAAAAGCGGTACGCCTCATTCCCCTAGACGCTAATTGCGTCATCCAGAAGCCGTTGCAATAAACAACACACCCAAAGCCGTTGCAATAAACAACGCACCTAAAGCCGTCGCAATAAACGACGCACCCAAAGCCGTTGCAATAAACAACGCACTCAAAGCCGTTGCAATAAACAACGCACCTAAAGCCGTCGCAATAAACGACGCACCCAAAGCCGTTGCAATACACAACGCACCTAAGGCCGTTGCGATCCACAACGCGCCTACAAAGCCGTTGCAATAAACAACGCACCTAAATATCGTATCGGCACAAGCGGTGAAACACCCAAATCGGCCGGCGATATGCAAGACGAAGGACCTGTGTGTATGGTCCGACGTCTTCAAACGGAGAAGCATACCGCGTCGTCCGCGCGGAAACCGCAGGACGACAAGCCTGAATTAAGGCCGAGGTTACGAAAACTCCACCCGTCAGTAAAATTTCGCTCAGGACCACAAAGGGCGGCCGTCAAAAGACGATGCATAGTCCGGTCCCTCGTCGACGATAGACGTGGAAAGGCCAAAAAAGATGCCACTGACATGCATACCAAGCCGAGGGCGTATTTACTCCCTCGCACTAATCCACGCGAAAAGCGTAGCGGACAAACTACCGCACATGGACGAAGGGACAGTAACCCTTCGGCCACCCAAAAAAAAAAAAGAGGGAAGCCGACGGACCGCGCACTTACCGGCCTCGAGCAAAAAAAATAAATAAATTCCCCAAACTTATTATTCATCTCAAGACCGGCTTCTCATCGCCGAGTGTCTTGGGCTAGCGACCGGGCTCGCCATTCCCCTCCTGGATGGCGACCGTCGCTTCCATATGACGATCGGCCCATCATCGCCTCGTCATCATCCGGATCGGCTCATCATCATCGCCATCCGTTCTTCACGATCGGCCCCTCGGCCACGACGTGATGCTTTATCTCAAGACCGGCCTCCTTAGCGCCAAGTGTCTTGAGCTAGCGACCGGGCTCGCCATTCCCCTCCTGGATGGCGACCGTCGCTTCCATATGACGATCGACTTCATCATCGCCTCGTCATCATTATTCGGATTGGCTCATCATCATCGCCATCCGCACATCACGGCCAGCCTCCCAGCCTCGGCGTGATTATTTCTCCTCAAGACCGGCTTCTCATTGCCAAGTGTCTTGAGTTGGCAATCGGGCTCGCCGTCCCTTCATGGATGGTGACCGTTGCCTCTATATGACGATCGGCTTCATCATCGCCTCGTCATCATTATCCGGATCGGCTCCTCATCGCCATCCGCACATCACGACCGGCCTCCCAGCCTTGGCGTGATTATTTCTCCTCAAGACCGGCTTCTCATTGCCAAGTGTCTTGAGTTGGCAATCGGGCTCGCCGTCCCTTCCTGGATGGTGACTGTTGCCTCTATATGACGATCGGCTTCATCATCGCCTCGTCATCATTATCCGGATCGGCTCCTCATCGCCATCCGCACATCACGACCGGCCTCCCAGCCTTGGCGTGATTATTTCTCCTCAAGACCGGCTTCTCATTGCCAAGTGTCTTGAGTTGGCAATCGGGCTCGCCGTCCCTTCCTGGATGGCGACCGTTGCCTCTATATGACGATCGGCCTTCACATCGCCTCGTCATCATATGTTGGACCGGCTCATTATCGCCGTCGTCCTTACATCGCGTCCGGCCTCTCGGCTAAGGCGTGATACCTTATCTCAAGACCGGTCTTAGTCATCCCTTCCCGGATGGCGACCGTTGCTTGGATCTTCGGATCGGCTCATCATCATCGCCATCCGCACATCACGTCATCGTGTTCTCATTCTTAGTCTTACAGTTCCTCCATGGGGACGGTTCTGGAGGAATGGAGGCAGGTATTCATCACTTCATCTTCTTCCTTCATTGCATGTGGTGATTGCACTATTATCCCAATGATAATGGGACATTTGGAAAATAAAATTAAAAGTAACCCTTTTTGAGAAATAAGTTTGAATAACACCTCTACTTAGAAAAAACTCCTATTACTAGCCTACTAGGAAGTACTAATGTACTATCGTATAAAAAATCCAACACAAGAAAATCAATATCAAACATATATTTAGAGTTTTCTTAATTAAAACCCATCACGTACTGCCTCATTCCAAACCGTAGTACGTGGGACAAAGGTGGTAATACTGTAATACGGAGTAGTATTTATCTTTCATTAATACGTAGTATTGTTTTTTATTATTCGTAAATCACGTTTGTTCTTTTAGTATTTTGGATTCTTAATTTTACTCCGCTCCCATCTATCGTAAGACCAAGAGAATTAATAGTGTACATATAAGGCCAAAAAATTGCATAGCACTATCATGTAAAAAACACATCACCACAGATATATGAAGTTATAAACAATTAAACATATTGTTACGCACTACTTACGCACGTCTTCTGTCACAATGTCATGCATTGGCACAAAGTAGGATCTTTTCTATTTTTCTATGGACTGTTTTCAATTCTAGACCATACCAAATCAAATCGGATCGGACTTCCATATTTATAAAATACATAAAGATCAAACGTTTACTAGACCATATAAGATCAGTTCAAATCAAAATAAATTAGATCAGATCAAATCGGACCAAATCCGACCAACAAATTTTAGTCCAAAGGAAAAAACCTTAATTTGCTAATACACCAAAAACCTTCACCCTGATTGTTTGATATATTTGCCCCTCGACCATAATATTCAATAATGGTATGTCTAACAAATAAAGACTCATATTTTTGCGTTACTTCACACGTGCATGTATGTTGACAATTTATATAGTACGCAATCGTCTACAAGAGATATGGAGACTAGTTAAAAGAAACATGAATCCCACGTGCAATGCCATGTTCAATAGTCCAATGGAAGCCCGGACGGAACGGTATAAGACAAGCGGACTAATAGTTGAGAAATAAAATTTCCTCTTTCATATGAAATGCTTTTAAGTATAAGAAGATAAGCAGACTAATAATTGAGCGAATGAATTTTCTCTCATATGTAGTGATTTTAGCTATACGAAGATAAGCATGCTAATAATTGAGTGAGATAATTTTTCTCTCACATGTACTACATAGTTTTTAAGTATAAAATAAGATAATCGGACTAAAGATTGGCTGGAATAATTTCTCCCTCATATATAGTGCTTTTAGACGTAAGATAAGCAGACTAATAATTGATCGGAATAATTTCTCCCTCATATATATTGCTTTTAGATGTAAGATAAGCAGACTAATAATGGAGCGAATCTATGTTGGATAAGATCGGGCTGAAAATTAGATAAGTTCGGGCCGAAAAATAATTATACATTCCTACTAAACTTACCATTTAACGGCGTGAGTTAAATATTTCATCCGTTGTTATTAATTACATTCCTTCCATTTTCACGTTAATATATAAAATTCCTGAATGTGTGTACGAAAAAAAGCATAAGGAAAAATTAGCAGCTAATTAATAAGAAAAAATCAGCAAGTGGGTATCTGAAAAAGAAAAATAAAATTGAGGAGAAAAAGGGAGATAAATTAAGAAAAGAAAGCTACATTAAATGGGTCTTTCTAATTAATGACAGAAGTGAACATGAATTAATTTTGAGGGCAACCAGATTTTAGACTAATCAAGCTTACTCACATGAAAATTATTTAATTAAACAACGCAAGTCAATACTAGGTTTTTACTGCTCTTGCAGCGAAGAGTACAATAATTTAGAGAAACAATCTGATCTCTCATGCGATAAGTTCTTAAATTATTGTTAAAACGAGCGAACATATTGCTAAAACAAGTTATTAAAAACCAGGATGTTTTTACTTGAACTGTTTTCAGTCCGAGACCAGACCAGATTTATACAGTTATAAAATACACAGAGACCAGACATTTACCAGACCAGGCTAGATCAGTTCAAACCAAACCGGATCAATTTAGACCAAACCAAAAAATTATAGCACAAGTAAAAACATCTTTGATGGATCATATTAAAGACCCAAATCCAAATCAATGAGATATTTAGAAATAAGTCAATAACTCGGCCATTAACCCGAGTAAGGGCTGCACAAGAATAACCCGAACCCGCATAACCCGCCCGACCCAACCCTACCCGACCCTATTTAATCGGGTATTTGATTTTTAAAAATATTCATGGGTTAAATATGTTTGAACCCGCACCTAATGGGTAGGGTTGCAAAATTAAAATCTCAAACGCGATAGTACCCGACCCGGCCGAAGTTCATTTTACTATTATTATGCTACAACGTTTTCTTGAATAATTTCAATTTAAGACTAATGTGCTCTTAACTCGGGTCCCGAGTCAAGTGATTTGGCCCAAAAGTACCGCCCACCCGCGCCAATCTTCCTGATGTGAAGGCGTGAAGCCCTATATGGGGCATTGCACGTGTGATTTTCTTTTCTAGCTGTTCTAATTAAATTAGCCTCTATACCTTCTAGACTATATGATTAGCGTGCAAAATCGTCAACGTATAATTTCACATACTCTTAATAATAAAGTAGTAGAGTAAGTATATAGTGTATATGGTAAATAATGAGTAGGAAAAAGAGTGTATTAAGTAGAGTAAAGTGATGATAAAGTATGAAAGAGAAAGTAGTTTGTAAAAAGTAAGTAGAGTAAAAGTAGTAAAAGTGAGGATATTTTATCAAAAACTTTCCTTAAATGGAAAGGAGGACAAATAAAAAAAACAGACCAAAATGGAATAAAGGACTATTAATAAAGAACGGAGGGAGTACTATATTATGAAGTAGTAAATACTTCTAAAGTTTGGACAACAAAAAATGCCTTTTAGACTTTTAGTTGCTTATATACATTTTTCATATATAAACTTATTACGAAGTACTTCGTATAATTCTTCGTATATGAGTAAAGTTACAAACTACGTATATAAGAGTCAATAACGTGCGTGTTAAAAGTACGGAGTAGAACTGTAGAAGATATGGGTTGAACACGTTAGAGAAATTAAAATTTGTGCTATGATGGGAAAAAGAGAAATTACATCTTCTCTTAGGCTGATTGCAACCCTGAGGTGAAAATGTTATTTTTAAGGTTTTCACCCCAAAAATTGATGCAACCCATGGTATACGTGCGTGCCAAAGTGGCTTGGTAGCTCCGCTCAAGTGAATACCTCAGGCCTTATTCACTGAGAAGATAAAGCAATCGTGGTTGTTGGGCATAAAGAAATAAGCAATGGTCCCATTTAAATTATAACCCCAATTATATTTAAACTATTATAACTTTTTTATTTAAATTTCAATTTTTATAAAAAATATATGATAATTCATAACTTTTCATGATCTTTCATATGACAACAATCTTGGATATATAAAGTTGAAAAAAAATGAAGTTTCAGTTCTTCAAGATTTGTGAACCTAATTCTTTTTAAAATAGGTCTAAAGTAACCGCTATAAAATCAAACTCTAAATTTATTTATTTTTACATTGGAATGTTTGATTTTTCAAATCATAATTACATATAACAAAAAATTGGAAAAAATATTGATGTGTAACAATTAAATTAAGGCTTTATTAAAAAAAACATTGTTGCGTAAATTTATTGACGGAACTGGGTTGCAGTGAAAATTGAATTGACTGAATGAATACGTATAAATTGATGACAAATTTGATTTATTGACGGAACCGGGTTGCGGTTAGCCTTAGAAGTGAAAATGTAATAAAAACTAGTAGTAGTGATTAGTGAAGGTGATTGAAACTCGAAAGAAGTAATGGATATAAGATGAATCTTATAATAAGATGAACGAAGTAAATCATTATGGCCGGGTCGTCAACAATAATGTAACATATATTTTGTGTATAAGATTAATTAACAAAGTAAATGATTATGCACCAAAGAGCTCCCGAGGGACTTAAATCATATCGATCGGTAACCTTGTTTAAGGTAAAAAGTTAAAGATTCATTGAATTTCGTCCTCACTTTGGTTGGCAAGAGGCCGGTCACATTGAAATCCCCTTTTTAGACTACAAATCGATAAACAACCCTTCATATTGTAAACGGAGAAATATCATAAGATGGAGAAATGTGAAATATGAATAAAAACTATGTAAATGTTCACTCATTCAAATGAGACAAAATATACAATGTTCATTATTATTGATTATTAACCGTTATTGAATTATTGAGCACTTTAACATGGAACAAATTGTTTATTGTTATGTTTGTTAAATAGGGTGTTCTCATTGAACTTGTTAGGATTTCAGATTAGATCAAATTAGCGACAAGATTACATCAAACCTATAAAATGACAAAATAAACTAAAAACAAATACGTAGTATTTATCAAATTAGATCAAAATCGTTCATACTAGATCAACTAGGATTTTTTTTACACATGCCTTACTTCTTTGCAATTTACTTTAATTGTCGTGTATTTAATCACCTTTGATATATTTTCGATATATTTTTCTAGTCCAATCTAGTGTTAGGTCGATATACGAAGTATGTATCATGTATGGACCATATATGGACCATATCGTGCAGACAATCATAATGTTTTTACTTGGACTGTAATCTGTCCCAAACCAAACTAGACCATACCAGAATAGATCAGACAAGATTTGGATAGTTATAAAATTACAAAGAAATCAGACATTACCAGACCAGACCAGCAAATTACACTCCAAGTAAAAATATCATCTTAAATCCAAATACTTATACGTAGTATATATCTATTAATCTATCTACGGACCATTTTTATTTTCATAGATATATATCTCTTTGTCCAAAAGAATGAATCCCTAACTTGAAGGTGGCCCACACCCCCCACAAATAAAGCATTTGGAAGGATGTAAACCATAATGACTCAATCAATCTTAACTGTGATACATCTTATAATCGTGCGCACTAGAGACTCAACTCACCAAATACGAGTTGTGACTTCCATACGGTCTCACACATATCTCTTTATTCACATTTAATTTCACCTCTTTTCACTTTTGGATAGAACTCCATTGATCAATAAGTGAAGGTCATTCAATCGAGATACTCTGGTAAGGTCGGGCTTATAATTAATGTAGTAAATATTTTTCAAAAAAAACATGAACTAATATTACTCTTGGAAAAGTGATGTACATACATATAATTTGGACTTAATAATTATTATTGATTATAATTGTGTTTATAGTGATCGACTACAAGATAGTTACACGATGTGAATTTTGATAGTAACTAATAGTTACTGAGTCACATTTTTGTTCATAATTTTTTATTGATACGGAGTAATATTTTAGGAAAAACTTCTACATTCTTACACATACATAAATTTTGAAGTTGAAAACAAGGATATTTTAAATTTAAATCCGCTGGTGCCTATTGAAGCTCCCGACCCTACGTCCCTACCTGAGCCTCTCCCCACATACTTCAGCCTACCAATCAATAATCTCATCAAACTCATTCATACATACTTACACACTTAAACACATCGATATCTATATATAGGAGCTGAATGTTACTGCAACTCTGGAAGCTAAGAAAACAAAACTTAATTAATTATTTATACAAATTATTTATACTACTATTAGAGAGCAGGCAAAACAGAAAGAGCCTAGCTAGCTAACTACATACTCCGTATTTATCCCAACAATTAATAACTTATTATTTATTAGCCTTCCAAAAAACAATTAATTAGCTTATATATTAGTAGCATGGCAACAGAAAAGGCAGCCACATTATCCAAAATGGCCGCGGGGATCATCTTGCTGCTCCTTGCGGTGCTTTGTACCGGCACCATTGGTGAGGCGGCGATCTCGGGAAGCGAAGAATTGACGACGGTTTCTACCACCACTGTGAAGACACCGCCTGCGACGGCGGCATCAACCGGCGGCGGCAGCGACGAAGGCCGTAGTGTGCTGAGCAGAAGATGGCTGCAGGAGCAGGGTAGTGGCAGGTGTACCTTTAGATGCATGATCACGTGTCAATGTCTAAGCTGTGACTGCCCTCAGACACCAATTGCTCCGTAACACATTATATATCGCATAGTACTGTACTACGTATATGCGCATTGAAGAGGGCTGCACAATAAAGTACCCCTAATAATAACAACAATAACAACAAGAGGGATTAAGTACCTAGTTAAAAGTCTTATATCTTAATGTTAATTGTGATAGTATAAATTATGAATGATATGTTCGTAGTAGTTAATTTAATACTTGTACTCCGTATGTTTATAATCAAAATACGGTTTATGTAATCAAATTCCGTGAATAAAATCGATAAATAAAGGAATTTTATCAATCCAAGACCTGAAAGATACACAAACTATCAATCAGGACCTAAAAGATGAAATGTATCGATATAAGATCCAAATGATGAAAAACTATCAATCTAGGACCCGAATGATTGAAAACTATCAATATAGGACCTAACTTTTCATAATTTTTATTAATATTTTAATCTACCGCCACGTGTTTGTATTGATTTAAAATCACAAACGTCACTATGAATTAATTCTAGTGGTTCCGTTCTTCTTTCAACCGATTTGAAAGACGTTTTCGTTAGTTTTGCCTCTACACAAACTTCACATTTGTGATTCACATCAATTGTGAATTTAGGAATGTGTTCCATGTTAATTAAAGGACGTATAGAATTAAAAATAACATGTCCTAGTCTACCATGCCACACATTGGAAGACTCAAGCAAGTAAGCAGAAGAGATTTTATTATTATTAATAATAATAGTCGTTACATTGAGCTTAAACAGCCCGTCACATGCATACCCCTTTCCCACATACATTCCCAACTTGGACAAAACTAATTTATCCGACTAAAAAACATGCGAAAGCCGTGTTTGTTCAACAACAAACTGGAAATCAGGATTTTGCGTATTTCCAAAACGAACAAAACTTGGTTTAGAGTCAGTTCCTTGCCCGAAGTCATTTTCAGGACCACCTTGCCCACGCCTTCGACCGCGGAATGAGTTGAGTTTCCCATCCACACCTTCTCACCATTTGATGGCTCAAAAGTTGTGAATAACTCCCGATTAGAGCAAATATGCCGGGTAGCACCGGTGTCCACAAACCACTCATTGGAATTGGATCCAATGAGGTTGACCTCGGTCACCACGGCGGAAAGGATCATTTCCTCTTCCTTTTGAATCTTGCGAAAGATCATTTTAATCTTCTCAACTTGATTCACGACCGTCTTTCAATCCACCATTTTAAAGTCAAGGAAACGGTCAATAATAAATTTGTTTGCACCGACATCCTCGCTTTTACACTTGTGGTCCAAAGCGTTCCATAACTCCTTAGCCGTAGCTAACTTCCTATAAACATCGTACAAAGCATCATGCAGCCCGTTCAACACGTAGTTTCAGCAAAGGAAGTCAGAATGCTTCCATGCCTCAACCGCGTTGAGAGATTGCACATCTACCTCACTCTCGGTTACAACCGGCACGTCCTCGGTCAAGAACCTCGCAAGACCGAGAGTAGTGAGATAAAATAGCATCTTTTGCTTCCACCTTTTGTAGTTTAACCCATTGAATTTCTCGGGCACGGTAATCGTAGGGATAACCCTTTGGTTGGCCAAAACGTACAGATACTCCGCGTTGTGAACTATTGTTCACCGGAGCTCCGTTTTCAGATTGTGTGTCATTCACAAGCACATTCTGCCCAACATTATTTTCGTTTTCTTGCAAAGCCATTTTTCGTTTCTTACGTTTTCCGAAAACACAAAAAAATAAGTTCGTTCACAAAAGTGACAAACTACGTTTCAGATTGTTTACCGCAGTACAACAATCACCGAATACGTTTTAAGTTTGTTGGGTGTGTTTCAAAAAACAAGGAAAATAATTAATAAAAATTAATTAAATAAAATGACTAAACGAAAACAGAAAATAGATGAAGCAGAAAAAGCCAAAGCTCATGCTACGCACGATTTCCTTAAAACGTATTCGTTGCCTCCCGAGGTGCTAGGAGCGTTGCAAGGATAGTTTCCCAGGATACGATAATTATGAACAATAGTTTAGCACTCAAACTAAAGTTCCAACGAACGTGAACAAAAGGCAGAACACAGAAGATTTTTTCTGGAATGCTAGAGGTGTTTTTAGCTCTGAAAATACATGAAGGAAGTGTATGAACGTGTGTCTTTTGCAAAGCACCTGCTAGCCTATTTATAGGGTGGATTTGTTGGCTGAACGTTGGCATGTTAATGAGTCTAATGACGTTTAATGGAGTTGGTCGTTGGACACCAATAGCCAAAACGTTGGCTGAACGTTGGCATTGAATCGTCCAAATGAATGTTGGTATTCAATAGCCAGCTCGTTGGCATTGATCTTACCAGAAAACGTTCCAATTCCAGCTGCATTAAGGCATATGAACGTTGGGCAGTTAATGGAGCAAAAACTAGGAACGTAACGGAAGAACAAAATTTGATGTTTGTCATTAGAAGATAGATTTTCGGACGACATTCGTGTCCGCAGGTCGCCCGTGCACGCAAGTCGTGTTTTTGTTCTCCGGTTTCAGGATTTAATTCGCACCCCCTCCCGCGCGCGAGAGAAATTTTCCCTTCAGGAATCTTAACTCCTTAGAAGGGGTCAGGAATCTTAACTCCTTAGAGGGGGTTTCCCTTTATAAAGGGTTCAAATTCCCTTGGGTTTTCCGGTGTGGGAAAAAACCACACTAGAAACCCACATTTTCCTAGTTTTTCTCCATTTCAACGAGTGAACTTCAAGAATCAATTTCTCATTCACCCGTTATCCGTTTTGAGCGTACCATATATCGAATTGTAGCTCTAAGCAAGGACAATCCGAAACCACTTTGACCCGACCCAAATCATAAGTGGAACGCACTCAAAAAATTGTCCTAAAATGACCATTTTATGCAATTTATTAACACTTTTTCCAACAATAAGAACTATAGCAAATAATATAGGGTATGAACAGTCTAATTCACTAATCCTGCAGTGACGATGTAGTTTACTCTAACAACATTGCCACAATATAATTGCTAATAAAATTAATATTAAAAACAAAATAAAAACTATCAATGCAGGAAATTAAATTGTCAAAATCAATAGTTCGAGTTTATCCGTCACGGGAAAGGGAGAATGAGAAAATTCCTCAAAAGAATTAAAGCATACATAATTTTTCAAATATGAGTGTTTGTTTTTTCTTCAAAAAATGGAGCTCAACCACTCATATTTTGGAAAGTTTTTGTTGTTTTATTCCTTTAATAGGAGTAAATAATAAGTATTTTGAGAAGAATATGTGTTTTGTCCTAGCTATTTTAGAATTTTGGTTATGTTTTAGTCATATTTTAAGCAATTCCTTAAGGGAGAATTAGCTCGACCATCTTAGTTCGCTCTGGGGCTATCACCCCCCCCCCAACTCATCCCTCGCCAGAATGTTTGACGGTGCACCACCGAGGGCTGGGCATAATCCGGTCTAGGCCGGAAAATCCAACCGAACAGGACCTGTTAGTCTAGAATGGATCGGGACCAGTTACATTCCGGACCGGTCTTCGGTCCAAAGATTTTTGCAATTCCGGTTCCTCAATTTGATTGGTTCAAACCCGAAAAATATTTCGATTCAGACCGGTTAGACCGGAATTTAAATATTACTCCGTATATATATAAATATATGGAAAAAGGGTCAAATAAGTCCTACTATTTCCAATCTGTCACTTAAACACATCTACTAAAAAAGTAATATAAGTACGTTTACTTTTAAAATACAATCAATCAACCCATTTGACTTGCTATAGCAGATTATTTTCTAAAAAAATTAAGGATATTGATAAATCTTACAAAAAATCATATAAATTTGAATTTGAATAATTAATCTAATAATAATATAAAATACTCCGTAGTATAAATGTAAAAATAGATAAAAAAAATTAAAAAAACATTAAATAAAATAAAAATCTGAAAACTGAAAAAATAAAGTGAAAATAAAAAAAGAGTTAAAAACCTTTTAGATAGATGTTGAATATACAAATATTTTTAAAAATTAAAATATTGAATTTGATATTCTGAAAATTTTCACATGTCAAAACCTTTTTGACCTGCTATTACATGTTAAAAACTGATTACATAATCAAATTGATCTTTTTTGTAAAGTATGCGTACTTATATGATACCTTTTTAAAACACGGGCTTAAGTGACAAATTAGAAACAATACAATAACTTATTTGACACACATGGATACATGTTTACAGAGGACTGCTCAGGTCCCTCCGGAGGGACGGGAGGGAACGTCCGAACTTTACTGTTTGGGGCGGTTCCCGGTGGAATTTTTTGATGAAATTTTTTGAGCATGTTCCTCATCAAGTCTAGTTTGTCCATACCAAATTTCAGCTCAAAATTCGACTGGGAAGGCAGTCAAATAAATTCTTGAAACTTACTGCACTTTATATATGCGCAGAATGTGCAGTAAGCAGTAAGCTTCAAGAATTTATTTGACTGCCTTCCCGGTCTAATTTTGAGCTGAAATTTGGTATGGACAAACTAGACTTGATGAGGAACATGCTCAAAAAATTTCATCAAAAAATTCCACCGGGAACCGCCCCAAACAGTAAAGTTCGGACGGTCCCTCCGGAGGGACCTGATCTTTATATTAAGTGATAAAGTGTTTTGAGCAACAACTCAATTTGCACACTATTTATGTGTTTAGATAAAGAAGATTTTATAACCTAAAACTTTAAAATTTAGGTGAATGCTTTTTATTTACTTAGTTTATCTTGTTGATGATTATAAATACGTGATTAATTGAACAATTTTTATTTAACTTGTAAAACTAATAATGAGTTAAACCATTTGTCGAATTAACCGAGAAACTAATATTAGTTTCTTGTAATAGGGTATGTTTGGCATGCACAACTAGCTGAAAAGCTATTTTATAAACTTTTTAGTAATTGTTAACTTTTAGTGGCCGAAAGGATCTTAAATGAAAAAGGTACTTGGTAGTTGTCTGATAAAAAAACCGACTGTTTAATTTAGTTCTATTTGGTATACAAGTTGTTGAGACTAATTAATGTTAAAAGTTACATATTTTTTCTCTGAAACTATTCAGTGTAGCATTTCAAAAAAGATATTTTACTTTTAAAAAACTCTTAAAAATTATCATGTCAAACATAGTACTAGAAGCTTTTATAGACTTTTTTAAATAGTACAAAAGCTAGCATTGAAGTAGAGGCTTATACCTGTCAAACATGCACTTAATTTTTTTTACCCCAGAAGGTAAACCACCAAAATTAGTGGGGCAAATGCTGGGGGACATTTGCCATATTTTATTAATGATAAGAGAA